CATAACTTTAAGGAAGTTTTATGGAATGAAATAATTTCAAAAGTAAAAGATTTTTGTCGCAATTTTTGATTCCATAAGAACAAAGCGATAGAGTGTTTGAATTTTTTTTATTATTCTTCATATGAGGCAATGAACAAGAACAAGAAGTTGCCAGCATAAAAAATAAACGATAATATGATTGATCAATGAATGAATATGGATAAAATAGGACAAAATTGTAAAGTAACATTATGAAACACGCCATTTTCATGTGAATCTGGCTTTTCCTTCGCACGCGGGGTTCCAAAAAGGACAAGCGGCAATGTTTATACTTTAAATAACCTTATTAAACTCCCTTCTATCATCTTTCAAGAAATGCTGGCGAATGACTTTTTTTTAGTGACGATAAAAGTAAAAATCCGATCAGAAGACTGCCGCATTGTGATTGCAGTTGGCCCCGCTCGCCGCGCGACCACGTCCAGATTTCCACTCATTCGCCAAGTGGTTGAAAAACTCAGTAACTTTTGATAGCAAACACTTCGACCGATTTATTAGTATTTTCGTTCTTCAAAAGAGCTTTTCATTGCGCCGTAACACTGAGATCAAAATTCCACTTCACATGCGGCTCGTATGCCTTCCAGGTATGTCGATGAATAGCGCAACATTGGCATCAAGTCGTCGCCTTTCAGTAAAAAATCGATAACTTATATTTCAATGACCACTAGTGTGCTTGCGTCTTGATAAATTCCTTAGCTCGCGGTAGCAGTGAGTATAAGATTGTGTTACACACTTTTCGATAAACACGAATTTTCCTTGTCTTTCAAATCCATCGATAACGCAAATCTCAACGATTTTGATAATATGCTGACTTCTTAGAAAGGAGTTTTTTTGTGCGTTGCTATAGCTTAAAGAATATCAAGTTTTGCTCTTGGCGGCGTGTCGTTTGAGCAGCACAATTCACATGTGGCGTGCGATGTACGCCGCTTGCAAAACCCATCATTCCTTTAGCTGTACCAACGCACCAGGAAGTCTTTCTCAGAAAACAAACATATTATTGAAATCGTTGTTGCTATCAAATTTATCAATTGAAATTTGTGCTATCAAATCCTTATTGATTTTCTAAATGAAAAGCTTGCGCAGCTAATGGTGCCTGCGTGTGAAATGGAATTTCATTTTCACTATTACAGTATAATAGAGAAACCATTTGAGAAACAAAACAAATTGTTCGAATTTTTATGATTCAAGCTGTCGATTAGTTACTAAAACGTCAAAGGCGAATGAGATATGCGTTTTTTTTTTCAATATGAATGTGGGAAGAGAAGAAGTATCGAGAAAACTCTTTTTGCAGATACATAAGCAATAATTTGCATAAAGTCGATGTTCCAAGCTTTTTTCCTCAGGCGCGAATACCCCTAAGCTCTCAGAATTCCTACATCATCCATAAGTTCACCATATTCTCTTACATAAGATCTAAATAATTGGATGTAAACGATTGATTGATGCAAACCTAGCTATAATGAAAGTCATCGATGAACTGGTATCACATACGGCATGTTCACTTCATCACTGTTGAAAAAATTACTCATTATTGTCTATTTTCCACTCACAATGATGACTCTTGGGTCTTGTGTAGAAGCAGTGAAGATCGAAACTAAAGATTCACATGGTGACCTCCTTTGTACAATGTAATACAAATGATTGATAGCCAAATTTAACACGATTGTGGAGTAAATCAGCGCTTTCCTCTGTACAGGACATATATCTAAATCAAAAGCATATGAGCGAGTATAGAAAATCTTGTTCTATCCAGGTGGTGCAAGAATGCCAAGAATTATGACAATACGGAGAAAAAAGCCTAAGTCACATAACGAACATCGCGTAATTCGCTATGCGCGCATCGCTCTCTATAGCTTTCCTTTTAGGCTAAATCTCATTGATTTTCGCGCTGTGTCTGATTTTTCAAAAGATTTTTTTCAACGTTGTAGCTGTAAGAATAAATCAATGTTTCACACTAGAGTATATTACGCTGGACAAAGCGTTTCTTATTAGATTTATAGCAGTCATTTCATAGCTCAAACTTTAACCCTACTAACAATATACCTGTTTTCTAAAAAAGCTTTTCATCAAACTTTGAAAGCCAAAAGACTGTGTTTCGCACTAGGAGCTCATTTTTCTCGACTAGGGCTGTGTATAGCGACGCGATTGATTCGTCACGTAACTGCTTTCACATATAGCTTGCGACCAGCTTTATTTGGCAATATAAAACGATAATGAAAAGCTCAAGCTTTTATAACGATAGAAAAAAGCTTCTTCTAAAGTATAATACGAAAACCAAGAGTCTCGATAAAACGAAAGAAAAATTTCCAGATTAACGACAAAAATATGTGCGAAAATTCTCCGAGTGTGTAACAGTTTAACCGAGCCGAATGACTACTATAACTCTTACAAGAGCATATTTTCCAAAGGATCAGAACAGAGTGCGGACAACGGTAAGATGTCGAAAGGAGTTAGTCAACTGTGTTAGGCATAAACTGGATTTCCCACCAACAGACGCATATTCTACTCAGTCACTATGCGCAGAATGCGTCACATAGCCCCGTAAATACTTTACTCATAATTCCTTTCGATGATGATACATGGACAATGGTAATCTGAAGATTGACAGCCCCGATAAATAGTGAGCCCAGTCATTCAGTTCTAAAGGAGCTCTCTTTTGAATGTCGAGCATATTAGTTATCACCTCTCTCTATCAAAATCTCGTCTATTTCGATTAGTCAAGATAAAATCAAGTGATTAAACACGAGTACACATGCTTATGCTGAACGGCTAACATTATAACACACATATTTACTAACACAGTGAGTGAAAATATGAAGGGGGAAATCAAAATCAGAACACCATTCTATTTTGCTGCGGCAAAAAATCTCAAGTGGATCTGAGTAAAAGTCATTCAATATGAGAAATCAAAAGAAATATAAGGATAAATCTCTCGGGGTTCATCGGTCCCTGAGGGGTGCGACGTGCATTCTTTTCCAAATTTTAACTTCATCTGAGGTGACTGAATGCATATCTGGCCTTTACAGTGATTCGCCGCGGCCTCTCGCTGTAACGAGTGTGCTGCTTATCTTCCCAGACAAGTCTGAGGCTGTCTGGTAGCAATTTACCGAATTTAGAGACCCCGGGGAATAGATGGCGTGGTGAGCAATGAGAGCCAGATAAATTATCGACCATCTGTGCGGCGCAGAGCACCTCTAGCCACTGCGCCACATGCGCTAGATAGCTTATGTAGTCTGTAATAAGAGATACTCGAGGATCTCAGAGGGATGCGTTATGCATTCGACTTCAATTTTTAACTTCGTTTGAGGTGACTGAAGGCATATCTGGCCTTTACAATGACTCGCAGTGGCCTACGCTGTAGCGAGTCAGTGCTGCTTACCCTCCCAGACAAGTCTAAAAGCATTCTGTTACCAATATAGCGATCCCGGAGATATAGATGGATTGGTGAGCCATGAGTAAATCGATCCATCAACCTTCTGTGTGACGAGGAACACCTCTAACCACCGTGTCACATGAGCTAGATAGCTTATGTAGTCTGTAATGAGAGATAGGTCGTTATATGTATTGGGAAATAACTTATGTAACCTGCGAAGAAACCTTTATTCTACCGCTCCTACTATAATGCAGGATTTTATAATCATATATCCGAGCAGAACGGGCACATGTGGCGCAGTGGTTAGAGGTGCACTACGGCGCATACAAGGTCGATGGTTCAATCTGGCTCTCATAGTTCACCAAGCCATCCATCTCACCGTAGTGGCTATATTGTACCAGATTGGCTCAGGCTTGTGAGGGAGGATAAGCAGCACTGACTTGATACAGAGAGAGGACACCGCGAATCATTGTAAAGGCCAGATATGCATCAAATCACCTGAAACCAAGTCGAAAATTAAAGGCAAATGCATGGAGCATCTCTCAGGGATTCATAAACGCTGAGAGCTTTATTCTTCTATCATTTACCAATCCTTCAAAAAAACACTTTTTTGAAGAACTAGCTTTAGTACTTACTGAAAGGGGTGCGCCGTGGCCGAGTGGCTGTGGTGTTGGTCACGACGCACGTGGAGCCGAGCTCCATCCCCAGCTCTCCTGCAGTCAACAGCAACGGCCCATGGTACGCCACAGTAAGGCTATCGTCAAGACTGCAAATATACTGGCTTAACCAGTACCCTACGTTTTCTAAGAAAAAGACGAAAATCGAATTGAATGCTAGAATTAGTGAAATCCGTGCAATAACAAAAAAACTAACTCTGTGACGGCGGATCAAATAAAGTGTTAAGTAAGAAGTAAGATAAGGTACTAATAGGGTAGACACTTAAGGACAAGTCGCTGTTAGTGGGTCCTGAAGCGATCAAGCGCGCCGTTCACAAGCACTACAGTACTGGAGCGCTTCGATCGATTTCGCTCTACATGAGGTCCTCGCTATCGAGGGCGCACCTCAGCTACTGAGATCCTTCACCACTAACAGGTACAATCTTCTTAAACAACTTTTTTTCAGAATTCTTTTTTTCTGACCGCCACTTGTGTTGTTATGATCTTGTGATATACCCAATAATGTGGAGTGCTGTGCAAGAACATTTGCGTCAGCCGGGATTCGAACCCAGATCTCGCTCTTTCCAGGAGCGTATGCTAACCGTTGCACCACGGACGCTCGTTTTGCACAGCACTCTTTTTTACACCACAAGGCGTTGCCTGTCAACAGCCAACCGTTGACGGTCTGGTTGGCAACTTTTTTCCCACCCTTATAGCACGGTTTTGTGAAGTTTTGCATTTCGCCCAGGGTTCATGACTAATTTCAGGCTTGCTCTTTTAGTCTATTTAAATTCAAAGGCAGTTCCGTAAGCACGGCATTTTGAAAAGGTTCTCCACTGTAGATCAAACAGAATACTTTTTATTAAGCCGCTTCTAGCGGTGTTATTATGTTTTTAAACAGATACTCACTGATGTAGAGTGATGTGCAAAACTTTCGGGTCAGGCGGGACTAGAACCCGCACCTCACTCTTTTCGGAAATGCGTGCTCTATCCGTTACACTACTGACGCCCGTTTTGTACATCGCCCTTTCTACTCTACAGCGCATCATAACACATAAAAGATTATAACACCGCTAGAAGCGGTCAAATAAAAAGGAATTTCGTTTGATCTTCAATACCAAATATCTGTCAGCGTGACTGGGTTCAATGTCGAGACCGACTACCCGGGCCAGACCGTTGACGGCTGGCAGCTGCAGGTAGATGCGCTGGCAGCGTGAAAGGAGCGATGTGTAAAATGGGCGTCAGTAGTGTAACGGAAAGAGCACGCATTCCCGGAAAGAGTAAGGTGCGGGTTCTAGTCCCGCCTGACGCGAAAGTTTTGCACATCACTCTACATCAGTGGGTTTCCACAGTAGTTATCTTATTTTGTGGAGTACTTTCGCTGGAGCAAATATACGTTTATTGAATTAGTGCAATATTCACTTTATTGCATTCACTTTCGCCGCTCGTGCTTATGCCCCTTCTACTGCGATCAGTTCCGTTACGTTATAGTCGGAGATTTGTAATTGAAGGAACAACACATAATCCATTGTGTTAGGAAATTTATTATTAATAATAAGTGTAACTTGCTTGTGTCGTCTTGATTCACTCGGATTTCGAATCACATATGGAAAATAAAAATGACTTTACGAAAGGAGCGCATGTGGCGCAGTGGTTAGAAGTGCTCTACGTCGCACACAAGGTCGATGGTTCGATCTCGGGCTCATGGCCCACCAAACCATCCATCCCACAGGAGTCGGTAAATTGGCAGCAGGCAGGTTATACCTGTCTGGAAGGATAAGCATCACTGATTTGATACAGCGGGAGGTCAGTGCAAGTCATGAAGGCATATATGCATTCAGTCACTTCGAACAAGTTGAAAATTGATGACGAAAGCATGGTGCATCCCCCAGGGATTGATCAGCGCCAAGAGCTCTATTGTTTACACTTTATTTTTCTGAAAAGAGCGCATGTGGCGCATTGGTTAGAGGTGCTCTACGTCGCACACAAGGTCGATGGTTCGATCTCGCGTTCATAGCTCACCAAGCCATCCATCCCTCCGAAGTGCGTAAGTTGGTACAAGACTGGCCTCAGACTTGCCTGGTAGGATAAGCAGCACTAATTCGATACAGAGGGCTGCCATTGCGAGTTATTGCAAAGACCACATATGAAATCAATAATTCCAAGCGTAGTTAGAAATTGAAGACGGTCGCATGGTCGCATCCCTCAGGGATTGATTAAAGCCGAGAGCCTTATCCTTTTATTCTCTCTATTTTTCTAAAGAAGATTGCGCTGCAGTCTTCAATGGACACATCGCGCCTACGACACAGCTGACTGACCATTTTTGTTTAGGGCTCGTGGTGCCTAGCACATAATAATCTCGATAAGATGAGAGGTGAAGAACATGCTCATCAAGTAAGCTTGAAAGCTCGAATGCTGTCAGTTGATTTCTCCGTGATCTGAGGGTTCAATTACCTGTCATATTCGATCAATAAATCGCTTGATGAGTAAAAGCCGGAGGAGAGGTGGTGCAAAAGCTGCCGCTCTCTGAAAGTAGTGTGGACACGACTGGAAGGCCGAATGAAAACTGATCTCCAGCTTGTTCTTATCGGCGCCTCAAGTCGTCCGCCCTCAAGAACGGCAACTTTGCTTTGAATTTTGAGTGACAGATGATGACCAATCGTTCAATTTCTACTCATAAAGGCCTCGCTAATGCCAGTTTTTCATGAAAAAAGCTACCTCCACGGTAATTTGGGATTTTGTTCTGACAATTTCTTCAGGGCTTACCGATTCGGATTGAAGAAAGTATGATATATTTATGAAAAAAACATAGTCTTTCGAAGTATTGTCTGCAAATTCGTTCAAGGAGATTTATAACAGTGGTGAATGGAGAAAAGCATTCATTTCATCATTCTGCGTGAAGTTCCCTGTTCGTCTCAACGGTCTCATAAGTGGCACTATGCAACATGCCTGCATTTATCGTAAATTCTAGATATTAGTTGTCATACAAAGCCATTAATGTTAAATTCAAATTGTATTTGCGCGCTTACCCTTGCCTACTATGATCTTTTCAGGACATGCCTTTGTCGAAAATGGATATCCGCGGCGAATGTTGAATGGCGATGTTCGTCGACGAGTTTATTAGACAGTATAATCCCGACGGTAACCCTCTGTTTAACAATTCTTTAAATTTTCTGTTGTAATGTTTTATTTACTGCTCACTAAGTGTCATACATTGGAAGAAGCTCTTTGCGTATGTGCGTATATATGTACATATATATATACATATGTCTGGATGCATATGATATGTGGATCTAGAGGCATACCTACGCACATGTGTTCGTACGTGTATGATACTTGTAGACATGACTCCATAATTGCTATTTGTGCACATGTACGCAGTATCATATCCTTTTTCTATACCTTTCGTGAAGAAATCGGACTATCGGGTAAGTAGCCTTCCTCTAGAGCGCTTGATATCCCGAGAAATCCATTTTGTAACGGCTCTCGTCCCTCGATTGCCGTTGAAGCGCATCACGAGTCCAGTTCAACTTATTTTCAATACCTGGCGTGTACAACGGCGCCTCTGATCTTCGATCGTTGAAGCAGGTCGGAACTTCGGATCCTTTATCTTAATTGCGAGATACGGGAAACTCCTAGCATACTCCCAGCATATTCCTAGCATCCGGTATCTCGCAAATGAGAGCAAGGATCCGAAGTTCCGATCAACGTCAACGATCGAACTTCAGAGACGCCGTTCTACACGCGAGGACATCGAAAACGAGGTGGGCTGGATACGTGGCGTTTCAACGATAACCGATGGACGAGAGCCATTACCGACTTGATTCCTCGCGATATCATGCGCTCGACAGGAAGCCCACCGACCCGTTGGTCCGATTTCTTCACGAAAGGCGTAGAGGAAAGATACGATGCTTAGCAAATTCCTAGAGCGGGGAGAACCCACTGGGCTACTCTTGCACGCGGTAGGGAAAAATGAAAGTGTTGCTAGTTCCCGCTTGAGTCACTCGACGATCAACGGGGCGGTGACAGGTGATAGATATAGGCATACGTATGCATACATACAATATGTAGATATGGAATCACATATGTATATATAATATATACAATATATATATCACCTGTATATGTACGTACATATGTATTATATATATATATATATATATATATATATATATATGTATATATATATATGAATATAGGCGCATTATATGTGCAGGTATGCCTCCATGTGCTATTTGTATACGTATATGTATATGTACAATATATACGTATATGTGCGCATACTATCTGTATATATTGTAGAGTATGTGTATATAGCGTATAAAGGGCGATATGCAAAATGGGCGTCAGTAGTGCAACAGATAGAGCACGCATTCCCGGAAAGAGTGAGGTGCGGGTTCTAGTTCCGCCTGACGCGAAAGTTTTGCACACCGCTCTACGTCATTGGGTATATATTATGTGCATATACATGTACATATACATATATACACATGTATATGTAAAGCCATTTCTTTGTCACTACGGGACGTTTGTGTGTGCGGTTTTTATGTGAATTGTGAAGGTCCAATCACCGTCTCTCAAAAGCTTATTTGTGTGTACAATTTCTTCTCGTCTTGGCGATCTTATCTTCTCTGTCTATGGCCTGCCGATTTTCTGTGAGCGAATATTTGTCTGTTTTCGATTACACAAATGAAAGCATTGATACCAGAGGCTACTGACGTTACTGTTTTCAAAATGTTAATTTATTCTAAGTCATTCCATTTATGTCAAAGTTTTTTATCTAACAAGTCTACCAATACTCGAAAACTGTAGTTCCAAGATAAAAGCTGCCGACTGGATATTGAATAGCGCCGGTTTAATACAAATGTCTCATTTACAGATGTGCCCTCTTTCATCCTAGCGTGACTTAATTTATATCTGAAGACCTTCAAGATAAAGACATACTCAAAGCCATAGTTAATTTCATACTTGTTGTTCTCGTTCTTCTGCGCTAATATTATCGATCTCTTCACATTTCCCAGTTGTTTCCTTGTAATTATTCGCTGTTCGTGGGGGTGTCTTGATATTAAAGTGGTGTTATCTGTGAGTTCTGTACCGCGACCTGTGAAATATCAGCAACTACAAGGACAGTTGATCTATTACTGTTACAAAAGCATCCGTCCACCATGCATGTGATCCTCTCAGAGTCAGTTTACTGCATTACTCTGTTGTTTACGTCCAACTCTCACCTGTTCTTATTATGTGACGGGCCTATCTCAATTTGTTATCGATGTATTTCCTCCCTTATCCCCGAAAGTATGATAGAATTTGAAGATCTAAACTTCACTTTATAGCAGACGTTATGTGTACCGATTATATTCCAGAAGACACCGTTCAAGTGCACTTTGAGCGATGCGTTCTTTTTTTACTTTGGAATATCTAAGTTCTTATGTGGTTTAGTGACAAATTTTCTTCAAAACTAAATTTCAGCAATATGTTTTATTTCAAATTATACTGGTGGACTATACAAAGAAATTTCAGCGCTCGGATGCTATGTTAAAAGCATTCGAGCAAATCACGTCCAGATTATATTCTGGAGATGTTTTCTGACACCAATTTAGCTGCTCGAAGTACACATAAATGGACATTGAAAGTTTGTTCACCGAGTTTATGGGTTTTCAGTGTTTTGCTTTCCTTTGCCTTTTAAGTGACCAAAAGTTTGTTTCAGTCGTGCGATAAGATAGTATCTCGTCAAAAAGAGATGGTGCAGACGTGTTTGAGTGACATCGCTGAATTTTCGACTCAGTTGAAAAGGTTATGGTGCTGTGCAGTGCTGTTATCAATGAAGACGAGGAGAAATAATCGTATGCCGTGCAGCGATAAATATTTGTGGTAATACTTTCTCAATGACATTGCTCACTCCTCTGAGTTTTATCTATAAAAAAAAATCCCCGTTCCGGCAATCAAGGTAAAGCACAGGAAAGTTTTTTCCTTTTTATGAAGCGTTTGAAGACCAAGCACTGCTCAGTAG